GATCTGCTTCCGAAGATTGGAGTTCTAACAAGGATCGCTTGTTATTTGAACAACCGTTTCGGGAAGCGCCTCCAATCCGATCAGGGTATGTTCGATGAGGTTCTGGGACGCATGCAGCAGATGCTACAAGTCCCGAATTCATTGGGTCAAGAAGCTGAAGTAAATGGATGGAACAGAGTGAGGCGGCCATGGTCAACCATTACCTCTGACTCGATTTCTGACTTCCCGATACTGACAGAGAAGGATCTCAAGATCCTATTCACTGGAACCTACCAGCTCTCCCAATCTGTGTCTTATCTGGCTGAACTGCTGAACGAGGACAACACGATCAACCTGAAGTTTCACCGGGACCAAACCAACATCCTCAAAGTAGAGGTCCGGTCGAGACATGTTGGGAGCAAGAGCTACAGGTGTTACATCGATTACGAGCCCGAAACGCTAGGTTATGCGGGAATCAAGCGACATTACTGCGAGTGCGCTAATGGCGCTCGGACAGTCGGTTGCTGCTCCCATGTAGCGTCCGTCGTGTACTATCTATCCTATGCGCGATATCTCTCCCGAATCGTCAGACCTGCGGAGATTCTTGAGTCGCTGTTCCGGGATGGAGCTACCGTTCCTGTTATCAACGAAGATAGTGACGAAGACTGATTTGGGATCTATGTCATGCTCCTAAGTATCATCGTAATCAAAAATAAAAATCCCCGCCGGTCAATTCGATTGAAGTGTAGTACCAAGGAGGGCGCGCAGCGTCTGCTCGATGCGCGGTAAGGTTCAAATGTGTCCCGCGAGATCCTGGGTCAGCGTCAGACCAGGGAATAGCGATTGGGAGCGGCAATGGGCGTTTACCGAAAAACCATAGAAATCAGTGGTAGGGAATGAAGTGTTCGCGAATGAACCTATTTGGACTATTCCGATTTTGATGAAACTTGGTGTGCGTGTACATGGGCTTACGGGGTTTATTTGTGACATAGTGTCATCCATGTTCACGAAGGTCTTCGGTGTCTGGGAGCTTGAAGAAAATTAAAATTCGGAAAAAAATGATGATGAAAAGTACTGAGGAAAATGGGACCGGGCTAGGATTGTGGCATTTTTCGCCAGCTTTCCAACGAGACCAAGCACGACCCTCTAGCTCTTACCGTTTCCAAGAAAATCGCATTTTAAGATTTTTGAACTTTGACCTTTTTCTCGAAACTGGCCGCGTCGATTTCTGGGAGACTCGTGAAAAAGTCTTCTACTAACCGAGAGCTATCACCCTATCTAGTCAGTTTTCCAAAACAGATCGTAGCCGGGATCGCCACGTTATTCGGCTGTACCCTTTTGAAATAGACTACTCCAATCCTGCATATTATTGTTGAGAGAGCTTCTAAATCCCACCGTGCTCATTCGCCCCGCGGAAGAGCGGGGAGAGAGCGGGTTCGGATTGGTTTCCAGGCCACCGGATATAATCGCGACCGAGATTACTTAACATTCGCATCGGGATAGACTCAGGCTGGGTCTCGGCCTCCATTGCAGAAAAGAAAAACCTTTAATAGATCGTTCATCGAGCCCGGACAGGGATGCATACTGAAACCGGAAGGGAGCAGACTGGACGATTGCCTCCGACGAGTTCAGTCGTGAGCGTGCCTTTCGCGATTTTTTTCCTGGATTCCAGACCGATCTAGGGTCAGAGGAGCTCGAAACGCGGGCATAGCACAGCGCTCCACCAACGTGATCCTGCTCCAAGGTCGCTTCGGAAACACCGTTCCACCGAATGGCCACATGCGAGATGCAATGAAAGCTATAAAGTTGCGCGGTTCCATCCACCTTACACTTTCTTCCTCTCACGGATCTCCGGCAGCTGATCAAGCCAGCCTTCTACTGTCACTTCCGTTTGTCCCAGTCAAAACATCTGACGCTGTCGGAGCGACTTTACGCGGAAAAATATCGGTGCGAAACCGCAGATAAGCAAGATCGACCTCGCATTTTGAGGATTCCGTCCGATATCTTACCCACAACGCTATCCATTTGATGCCATTCGATAGTTTCAGCAGGAAACACTTCAGATGAAACGTTCTCCAATCAGCCGATTTCGCGGTCAGAAACACTTGAACTAAATAAAACTATGAGCAGTACTGACCAACTTGCTACCATCTGAAGTTTCGAGGTGGTGTTTGGGATATGAAGAGAGAGGCGAGGGTTTCGGGGGAACGAGAGGAAGTTTTAGGAGGGAGGGCACTCCGTGTCCGCCTCGAGGGAGCGTGACTCCGGACAGCGATGTCAGCAATATACGTTCATCGATGAGACGGCTATTATGAGACGAGCTCATTACTCTTCATACACATTATGATTATGATACTGTGTAGAGTTGGCCGTGGATCTTTATTGATTTGCGTGTCCCCATATCTCAGCCGGAGCACAGCAGTTCGGCTATTCGACTGACGAGTATTCTCAGTATTTACGTCTACGTTGTACATTATTGACTCCGGAACCCGCGCAGGCAGTAGACTGTGAATGTCCCGGAAAGCCTGATGACAGATCTTCGGGCAGGCCCTCGCTTGATGTTTTGAGGCCGAGCCCTGAAGCCAAACACTCAGCTCTGGTTCTTCCTCCAAGACTAATTTCCATGGACGTATTCGTATAAATCCATGGGAATAGGAGTCGGAATGAAATGGCTTGTCGATTTGGATCCATGAACGCGAGTCCAGTTTTCAGGTGGTGTCCATGTCCGTTATCCTTGGTATTCGGGCTGAGCTATCTGCCATCGTCGCGGAGAATTTTCTCACAGCCCTGTCACACAATTCGATTCGTTTCTGGAGACTTTTCCAAGAAATTCGAAGATACTCCGCGGTGAAGCCGTGACTCATGAACCACGGCGATGACGACGTATCACAAGCTCTCAGGAAAACCCTGCTATTGGCGAAACCTTCGTGGGGATGTCTAGCGATGCCCATTTTCTCGGCGACGAGACCCGTCCAGAAAACATCTTCGAGATAGAAGTATCGAGACCGCAGATATCCTTCGTACAGAAGTGCCGGACAGTCCCCGCTCATCAGGTAGCTGACTCCGGTCACGAAATCCGGGAAAACCGTCCCGTTGTATAAAAACGGTGGCACGTACCATTTCGAGCTCGGGTCTCTGATTGGGAGCCACCCATGTGCGAGCTTTCCCCAAATCGTTTTCGACTCTTTCAGAAATGCTGTGTCATCGAGGAACTTCTTCGCGTTGAGAAGCACGTCGTCGTCCACTTTCAGCACGTGACGTACTGAAGGGCAAAACACTGCGGCATACCGAATCATGGCGAGAGACTTTAGCGCCAAGTTGTAGTAGGTATCCTTGAAGTTTTCCTGGACGACGTCGCCGTAGGCCCGAATCTCCTCCGCGAGGACCGGGCCATGCGAGCTGCCCAACAGGAAAACGATCTCCGCACCGGAGTCTCTCAAGGCGCGGCCCCATGTGTCCCGGATCGCGAGCCGGTTCTCCACATTTATCGGTTTGCTGAACACGCACACAAGGAGTTTCGTCGCCGCGTCACAGCGTTTCGGGAGGAAGATGTACTGCGCTCCCGGTAACGCGGCGCTTGCCGCCTGCGGTAATGTGAGAAGATAGGATTTGTAAACGAGTCCCAGAGCACAGGCTAGACTGAGAACGCCGAGGATGGTCCGCGCTGTACGGAGTCTGCCCATAGTCTGCCGAGGGCAAACTAGCCGCTCGGGCCACCAGGCCCGCCCGAGATACGCTCCGGTGCCAGCAACGCTGTCCGACTTGTCAATGAAGCGCCCCGGCTCGTCCCCTATGGAATCCAAAACAACCTTTCGAATGATGTCGAAAGCATTTCGCGTTTCCGTCTGGTTGAATCAGAAATCATCTCGATGATATTCACTAGCGACATTTCTATTACTAACATTGAGCCGAGCTTGCGTGCGGCTGCCGACCAGCAACGCTTCAATTTGCCTCTTCATAAGGGCAGTCGAGTTTACTTAGCGGAGCACCCGTGAGCCGGCGCTGGATCCGATTGAAATTCAAGCGGTGTAGTTCCGCTAATGCTCATGCTGCGAAGCTGACTGAATGGCTGAGGTGACCGTTGGCTTGCGCATCCGTTTTCTTCTGGAGATCGTTTGATTCTTCATCGGATAGCTTAGCACGCTTAGGGCTTTGTAGGCGACATGAGCATCGAGTCTGACTTCCCTTCCCCACCGAGATCTCGGGGTTGATACTGCGGCATTTTGATGCCATCGGAGCGCCTCTGGAAGAAACACTCATGAGGGGCTTCGGTTTCTAGAGAGAGAAGAGATTCTCAACTCCGGAAGATAGATCCCTCAAATCCCCGCTTGGGAAAGTTCTGGAACAAGGAACTCCTGCGAGTGACGCACTGATGGTAGATGGACATTTACCTCTGCATTTATTCCCCACGATAGAATCGGTTTATGAGAGACTGACCGGAGTGATTCGATGGAAAACGAGTTTTTCGCTAACGATTCGTGAAACTCACGTCAATGTCTGCGACAACGTCGCATCGCATCCGAGAGGAAATCGTGGTCGAGGCCATCTTCGCTCATCTGATGAGTTAGACTCTCACTAGCGGGTACGACTTCACTCCAATCTCTCTTCCCTCGATAGTCGGAGGATTTTTACTCCGATTTCTCCCTCCGAGCGATTTTCTAACCTGGCTCGTCGTTCTTTTGAGAAAAAACTTCGAGCACGAACAACAATAATCTGCCGAATCAAACTTAATGTCTCGGTCGGTGGGGATTGCAACCATTGATTATTATCATCCCGCTGGTCGTCATCCCTCCTCGACTCGACTAGGAGGGCTCATTCCCAGAGGTCTATCCGTGACCTTCATGAGTGTTTTTACCTCAATTTAGAATCATGCCCGGACTCATCGAACAATCTGCCCCCTTGATGACGAGCTCCGGTGGCCATTCCTTACCCTCGACCCAACGGACCCAGTGACAAGAATCCCATAGGGGAATAAATCCGAATCAAATAATTCCGAAGCGTGGCGTGATCAATGACGAGAATCGAGCTGAACGATAACGTTTCGAAATTTATTTAGAGATCATAAGACACGAAACCGGTTCGGCGCTCGGGGAGCCTTCGCCTACGGTCGTCTGTGAAATAAGCTTCGGTACTCTAAGCTACGAGCAGGTGACCTAATCGGTGCCTCATCAGATCGGGTTGGATCTAAGAGTGGGACGCTAACTGCTGCTGGGGAATCCTCTCTGGATCTCTGGCTGGTTTTCCGAAATTCCATCGCTTGTCGAGTCTCCTCACTCTCGCCGGGGGCCCGTTCGTCACCTAGGGGAACTACATCCGTTCTCCGGGCCCACCGCATCCAGCGCACAACCTCTGAGATCCAACACTCCGTCCGAATCTGGGGGGAAAGCGTTCGTTCCGGTGAAAGTTCTTCGCATCGTGAGCGATATTTCAGTACTTATTTCAACACAAGAAATTTCACAACTAGAACGACAGCTCTCGCAGAGCTCCCCGAGCACCCTACCAGTCCAGGAGTTCTGGGTGGGAGCTCTCGTGAAACTTAGAGGGATCGAGACCATTTCTCAGCTCTCCGGAACGTCTTTTTCCTCTGAACAATCTCGAAATCGTCTCCCGATACTCACCTGGGGCGAGCCTTTGCGGAATATTCACGGTCCATGTTCTCGAGGAACTCCAAAGCGTCATCAATGTCGATTTTATGAGCCTCCACGACCGACACGGTGGCGAGTACCACGAAGAGGGCGACGAGAAGCATGAAGCACGTTTTTCCGGAGGCCATCTGCGAACAGAAGTAGATCCTTATGAAGAAGATCCTCATACGCACGGTCGCTTCGCGACAGGACTCGTCGAGCCCGACGTCCGATAAGCCGACAGCTCACCTCGAAGCGACGATACAGCAGCAACTGGCGAAGCGCAGAAGATTTCGAACTCTTATACGAAGAAGGTCGTGACGATTTGTCCGTCAAGGGCTTCCTTGTGTTCTTTTATACGGTCACGTCTCAAGCAAAGACACTGACGCACCCTGCGCATGTCCCGCAGCTCTGTACCGCCCACTTCGGAAAGCCTACCGTCGATCTCACCGGAAGTTTGCACTCCCGAGCGATCCGCACTTGCCTTGAAGCTTCTCACGACTCTGAAGATTCCTCCACAATAACCCGCGATCCTAGCCCCTCCTCCCGGCATCCTCATCGGTAGGATTGAGCTATCGTCGATAGCTAATCGATAATGGAGGAAGTCCAACACGAGGAAAAAATCACTTTGCCGCCCGAATTATTCGTATTCCTTTGTCGATTCTCTCGAGCTTCTCTATATTCGGTCCGCCGGGTCCAGCTCCATCCGGATCCTGTTTCCCCGGGGTCTGAAGTCGATTCAGAAGCGACATTCAAAACTTCCGCCGGGTGGAAGTTTCCACTGTAGAAGCGTGCCTGAATGCCTGAGGGAGCTTTTCAGAGCGACATATGGACGTACGTCGACGAGCTGAGCAATTCGATCAAATTAGGCAGAGGCGGAGCTTGCTGACTAAGAAGACATAAATGTTTATGACATTTTTATTGGCATAAGTTCAAGTACCGTGCCTACGAACATTAGATTAGAGTCTACGGCCGCACGTTCGCTCCCGACTCCCCGTAGGACCCCGAGGCCATCGACTGCCGACAAAGTGCCTGCGAGGTGCGAGCGAACCAACTTTCCAAATGGGGACAGTCTACAGCCAAACGCTCCCTTCTCAATTGCAGTTTCCACGACGTCGCTCGTTGCAATCGCTCTAATGCGCCAATCTCGCATTCCCGCGACTCTAACGAGTGATATCGACGCCATCCACAGATATTCGCTCTCGATCGGATCGATGCCAGGAAAAGCGGATCGAAATACATTTTTCGAACAGTCTAGCTGGAAAACCATCTCCTCTTCGGACGATCAGAGCGAGAAGAGCACCGCGGGCTTCTCAGCGAAGAAATAACATCCACGGACTTGTCTCGACTCAGCTTCGATGGGCAGTCTCTCCCGCCCTTGTGGGGCTTCATCCTCCGCATCCATACCGATTATAGGCTTTTAATTGACGGAAAAATCTCGATTCGAGGGAGCCTTACGCTAGATTTTCGCAGGTCTATTTCGCAGCCCACTCCTAGGCGTGTGACGGTCCTGTGCCCCGAATACGCACCGTCGAAGGTATCACGGACCGGAATGCGTGAGCCCCGCGATCGAGAAAGGATGACCAACACACTGGGGCGAGTCGCTCATCTGACAACAAGAGTTATGAGACGAGCAACAACACACATGAGTCGGAACGCGATATGAATGGTCCCTTGGTACGATTTGTGCCGGGCGCGTGAGTTCGGAATCAGGGGCCGGGAGGGCTCCGGGTCCCATGGGCTTCAATGAATCATCGGGATGAAACGATGCGTCACGGACGGAGACACCTTCGTCAGCGTGACGGAATCGAATATGATCAGAATAAACGATGACAACACTTGCTGGCGACGTACGCTGCTATCAGTCTCAACGCCCGGGACCTCTGCCCGAATTTCTTCCTCCGCTTGCAAGCTCTCGCTCCTTTTCGATCAGATGAGCCGTCGGACGCTCGGAGCCCAATCGCCCAGGAGGACAGAATTTGATTTTACCGGCACGGCGAGGAATTCAACTGCCGCGCGACCTGGGATCTTGGTGGAGACCTCTCATCCTCCGAGCGCCGGGCTGGTCGGTCTTTCTGCCGAATAATTCAATTTGTGAGGTAGAGACACCACGGCGGAGGTAAGTGCCCTCTCTGAGTCGACTGTGTCGGGAGTAATGGAGCCGGTGACAGCATGTGCGAGCGCCAAACAGAGCGTGGTAAATATTCCGTGATTGACCAATTTCTCGCCGTAAAATGGATAGCGTTCGAGACGTGCCCTCGGGCATTCCATTTATTATTAGCGGCGAGGAGCGCCCCACTTGTTCGAGCGACAAAAGTTCTCGATCCCAGAAGGGAACAAGCTCAGGATTCACTCCTCGTCGAGGCGTCGAAAATACGTGACCGCTCGCGGTTGTTAAGTCGGGGCTCTGGACCTGTCCCTCGCATGGGAAGATGGCGGGATAACACCTCGATGGGAAAGCTGATTGTGAGCTTGTTGAAGTCAGGAACGCGTACTTGATGAATTAGCAGCATTAGGTAACTCGGACTGCGACTGATTATCCAAGGTCAATCCGCTCCTATCCGAAATAATTTTCTAAGAGTGGACGCCTGTGGTCATTCCCCGCGCGTAGAGAAAGTGTTTCTCGGTCAGAGTTCTGCATATGAAAATCCGCGCGGGCATATCTGTTAATATTTGAGGGATGGTATTGTAATAACAATCTGGCTTGCGAGATGCAGTCGCCTAGTTTCCGGGAGATGCGGGAATCCTCCCATCTCCAGCAGGGAGGTAGCCTCAAAGTAGAAATGACATCGATCCGAACTCCGTCTCGCCCCAGGGGCATCCCTTAATCTGGTCCGATGTATTCTACTCCATTGACACTATGGGGGATCCCGAGTAGCTCCATTCAGGAGAATCGGAAGTTGACGCTTCTGGTCGGGGGCTTGAACATTTCCAGTCTCCTCCGATGGCAGCATTGAGAGATTTCTCCGAGATCATCAACCACGATCGAGGAGAATCGACACACGCTGAAAGAGTGAAGCCCGAACGAAGCGGATGGGTGAAAATTTCGATGTCTAGCTTGATTCTCGATGTTTCATTCCGATTCCGAGGATCGAACTCGGGGAAGAATGATTCGGATCCTGCATAGGCGTCACTTCCAAGAGTTCAAGCTCTTCGGGATGACGAAGCCAGCGAGTTTCGAGTCCACATAATTGTATAGGACATAGGCGTCTCTCCTAGGCAAACGGATCATCCCTCTATTTCGATGAGGGGATTCAGCGATGGCAAGGATCGTCGAGAAATCATGAGGTAATGACACTCATGAAATGATACAGTTTATTCGATATTCTTTAATACACAATCCAGACAAGAAGTCGCGGCTCTCTGCTAGTACCTATAGCATAACATGCCTAGGGTGGAGCGGGAAGAAACTCTCAAATCCTCCCCTACGGTGAAACGAGAGCATTTACGCTCGCTAGAATGATGTGCACAATGAACAGGAGCAACCCCGAGCCCGTTGTCTCAACGAAGGTTGTGGAGGGCTGTCAATCGTCCATTCGGGTCTTTCGAGCTCTTATTCGCCTGTGCCTCCTTGGTCTTGTCGAAAGGAAATACGGTCCAGGATCTGAATGAGAAGGGAATGTTTTGCTCGAATCGCTGATACGGGTCCGCTGTCCCATACTCGGAGACTTCGTTGATCAACAAAGAGCAGGAACTCACCGTAAGGTTTCATCGGCGGAGGCCGACATGACCGTCGTTCCGTCCGGAGAAAGTGCCACATTTAGAATCCTCGACGAGTGGCCACGCAGCTCTCCAACCTGCAGCAGGAGGAAATTATGATGAGACGTTTCTCGCATCCCGCGGATAGAGTTCGCTATTCCTCGCAGCGAACCAGCGACCATACGGAGAATTTCGATATTTATACGCCGATTACCTTGCGCATGCCGGCGTATTTCCAGATATTCAATTCGTAGTTCGAGTATCCGTGAGCAGACACCAATTCCTTGTACTGTTCGCTCCATAGAAGGCCACAAACTTGAGATTTGGTGTCCGTACACGACAGCATCGATCCGGATGAGACATTCCATATGCGGATGCATCGGTCAGCGGTTCCACCCCCAGTCGCAACCACACCTGTGGGAATGAAAGAATCGATCGGTCAATTAACTTCGCTCCGACAAACGGCCGAGTTCCTCCACCGAGTCCCAATATAGGCGGGAGACTGTTTGGAAGCCTCAGAAGGCAGCGAACCTTTCTGGAATGGACACCACGAGATCGCTTTGATTCCGGCCATGTGATCGTTGAACGAGTGAACTGGTCGAACCCGGCCCGATATCTGCTGCGGCCAGAAGTGGAGCTGATTGTCGTTTCCTCCCGATGCGAGGTACCTGAAAGGGACACGGCCTGATTCAAATCTGGACGTCTGGACCGTCGATCAATAACAATATCCACCAAAAAATGAAATTCTGTTCTGGCTCATGGCCCACATGAGTGACTCCTCGAGGTCAGGCTTACTTTCCATCGGGACTCCATTCCAATCCGCAGATTTCCTCCATATGTGCGTTCACTGTGCCCTGCTGGTGCTCGGGCACCCGAACGTCACTGTGCATTATGACTCCACTGCGAGCTCCGGAAGAGCACACGTGATTGTTCCAGGAGATTGATCCTACTCTGTTGGTGTGCCCTGGATCCGAGATGGAATTTCGCTAAGTCTATGGCCTTCCTCGAGAGAATTGCGGCTCCGAATACAAGCCAAAATCGTACCGTTCAGCGTCCGCAGGAGTCGTTTGCCTTCGATGTCCCAAAGCTCGACAGCATTTGTCGAAAGTCCAACTGCGATGTAGAATCCATCTTGACAGAAGCGCACCGCTGATATACAGTCCTGGAAATAGCATTTGGCTCAGCGATGCCTTGGATGCCTATCTGGGAATACAGGCTCGATGTACCGGAGAGAGGATATATTTGCCTGTTGATTCGGGAGCTCGATGAGGTGCTCGATGGTACCCGTCTGGGCGTTCCACAAGAAAAGGTTCCCTCCGAGCGCGACGGCAACTACGTTCCGGACACCCCAGTCCAACAAATTCAAATAGAAATCGTCCACGATACCTAGAAATATGAATCAGCGGCTTATCGTTGACGTCTCCGGAATCCTGTTTCCTATTGGAGTTTCGCGGAAGGGTTACCGCCTCCGACGAGAAAGCTGCGAATGCAGAGAGGAACGCGAGTCGGCCCCGAACGATGCAGCTCAAATTCACTCTGAGATTTGATAACATACCTGGGGCGTCGAGGATCTTGTCCGGCCGACTGGGAATGTAACGATTACTCTTCGTCACAGACTGCCCCTTGCTGGAGGAGTACAAGATCCGATTCGGGCCACTGGCCGTTGCGGCAGACGGCGCTTTGTCTCTGGAGAGGATCGAGGGTTACGTTTCGGAAAACATCTCCTGGCCCGAGACCGTTAAGCTCATTATATTCGGAGGCACCTTGAGCTCACCTGTACGCAAGGATCCGATAATTTGAGAGATCCAGGTTCAGCTGCTGCTGCACAGCTTTCGTGTAGTCGCTGGCCTCTGCAGAGGCGTTCTCATTTTCTTTCGTTGATATGGCGTAGTTGGCCTTCTCGAAATCCATAGCACGTCGATTGGGGATCATTCTAGAGCAAAAGTTTCCATCAATGATCGTTGATCGAGGACTAGACTCGGAACTTGACCCGGGAAACAGTCAGCGCGAACGGAAGTTGTGGCGCCGAATCATTGTCAGACTTATTGTTGGACTCCGGACTGACCGGGGGCGGAATAATTACCTGTCACCAGACTCGTTCTTCATGGGAGTTTTCTTCTTGTTGGTGAGGGAACTTTGGTTGAGCGTTACTTGGGGCGCTTGGAGCATGCTCGTCGAGACCATCGACGTGCTTGCGTTCGATATCGTGCTGGTTTCCAGGGCTTTGCGTTTCCATCTGCGGGGAGTCTAGTCAGTATGCAGTACTCAGCACCGCGAACTTTCCAAATTGATGGAATCACGAATTCGCGAGATTCTCTCGAAATCTGAGGCGGAAGGCCAGCTGACCGTTCTCCCGAGTCCATGGGTGCTATGGATTGATCTACCGTGTCCCCAGGATTATTCTCGTTCGAGTTCTTGTCGGGTCAATAGGGATCGGGACCCATCGAGAAGCCCGACAGGACATTTAAACAGACCTTTCGAATTTCGAGACTCACCTCGGAACTGGCCCCTGTAATTTATCGTCCATCTTTGTCGCTTGGCAAATGTCTCTCTCAAGATTAAAATGTGACATCTTCGAAACTCAATCGGTTAGGAACTCAATTCTGAAGTCAATTGATCATAGAATCAGGAACGGGCGGCCACTCTACACCGTTCGATGGCTTTGAGATTTGAACCGCGCTTCGTTCTGCCCGCCAAAACAGCGGATCCAACGGAATTCCTGATTCATTCGTGGTACGACTCCCGGTTCAGGCGGCGCGCAAGAGCGGTCTCTCGGCCGGGAGCTGGACTCCTGTATTTCGACGAGCCAATATTCTCCCAGATGCAACAGAATGCTGAGGGAAGGGACGCTTCGAGCTGTAACCCAAAGGACGGTCACGGGTGCGAGTTGGAGGAGATCGGTGATGGACACGATGATTTATGCTTGACCGATAGCAGGGGGGCTCGCGCACAGCCGATCGGATCGCCGTAAGAAAATGCTGCAACTTCGTTTAATGGAGACAGGTCCAGTCTCGATTATAGGTTTTTGCACGGCAACTCGACTCCAAAACTTCTTTGTTCGTCACAATCTCTTTTCATCTTTGAACACTTCAATGACAACAAGATCGGTGATGACTGTAGCGACTGCAGGATATTCCCATCGGAATCCAGTCCAACGAAGCCGTGCCGAGGAATCCCTCCGCGATTTATGTATTTTCCTGTCCTCACCGTGGAATGATACCGTGCATCAGACCGCGGCGCGAGCGCCGTCTGACGGCGTTCGGAAACTCATTGAGGAACTTCCGACTGTCGAGGAACAGGAGCGGCGTACCGTCGATTGGGGTGCTGATTGCGAGGAGTATCCTCGATTCTGAAGCATACTAAAACCGCGCACAAGCTGAAATCGCGCTCAGTGAATATCGCGCAGAAGCGAGAGTCTTGAATGAACTAAAGTAGCGCGAGGATGAGAATCGCGCACTGAAATCGCGCGGGTCTACTTCAGCCGAGCAAGACTTGACGAGCAAAGCATTGAGACCATTGATAGAGGTTCTGTGAGAAGCTTCGCGCGATTCCATTGCGCGAATCTAGTTTTTGCGCGATTTTTGTTCCGCGCGATTTCAGTTCTCGCTCGACAAGAGTACGCGATTCTCGGTCTTGCGCGATTTCAGTGCCGCGTGATTTCTGAATTTGCACGATATTTGTTTTCGCGCGATTTTTCGTCATTGCGCGATTTCAGTATAGACCCCCTCGATTCACCTCAAAGTTATGCCGAGCCTAAGCCAACACTCCTATTTCGATCTATCTTGATCTTGACCTTGTTTATCGCGTCTTTAGCTGTTGCGTATAGGGAGCTGTCGGTTCCGTGAGCGATTCGAGTCATGAAACTTGACTCCACATACGCTCCGAGCTCTCGGCGAGCTTCTCCTTTGGGCTGGACGGACTTTCGGCTGCGAGCGAAGGATCCCGCAAAGGATGGAGTTCACTCGAAAATACTGTTCCTTGATATCGGGATAGAGGTTTCCCGTATTCTATACGAGATCCGAATTTCCCGCCACTTAACATCTCTATTCGTAGTCATGTCCATCATGCTTTGCTGAATCACCCAAGGGAACACTCCGGAATTCGGCGTAATTATCTGCTCCCGGTAAGGGTGAGTTCGGCGCGAGAGGCATCTCCTCGAACCACGATCATCTTTCCGTGAGCTCCGATTTTCTCCGTTCCCCTTCGTCGGCTTCCCTCGCGTCACACGGGTCCTGCACCGAGCGCTCCTGCTTCGGGAATGACATCTTTGAGAGACGTTTAGAGCGTTTACGGGAAACCGGAGGGAAAACGGGAAGAGAGAAGGCGAAGAGGAACAGTAACGGAGGAGGGGGTAGGTTGACGAAGGGAAAGATATGCGAAATGCGAGGAACGGGAAAATGAAATCTTCCGAGAACTAAAGTTTAAGGGGGAAAATAGAAGCGAAGACGAAAAGAAAAGGCACGGGAGAAAACGAGGGTGAAGAGGGCGATGATAGATACGGGAAAAGATCAGAGATTCAGGGAGAGAAAGGGAAACAGATGGAGACTCATATTTGGGGACTATGGGATACCAGGGTGAGGGACGAGGAACGGCAAAAGGAGAGCATCGGGGGAAAAATAGATATCTCGGACATGAGAGATGAAGAAACTGAGATTAGGGATCCTGGAATAAGATGAAAGAACAGTAGGGAAACTCAGAGGACCGGTTGAGCGGGAAGAAGCATGAGACCACGAAATGGCTCAGAAAAAAATGGAAAACGGAGGAGAGAGGAGGGTCAGAGAAAAGATAGAAGGAAATGAGAGGGGGTCTCAGGCAGTCGGATCGAGGAGAACTGGGGGGAGATCCCAAATGCGAAGGATGACGAGGTCCGGGAGCAGAAGAGGAACGGGAGGAAGAGGGGCAACGAAGGAATGTCGAGGTACGGGAGAGACAAGATGAGCGAGGAGGGGGAAGAAACGGAAAATGACCAGAGATTTCGGAGAGGGGTAAGAATAGGAAAACAAGCACGGAGGGGTAATTGGGGAATGTGAGAGATCAGGGGATGCGAGGGGGAAGGAGGAGACGAGAGAATCGGGGGCGGGGGAGGGGCGAAGGAAGGAAAGTAATCGAGAGTAGAGGTCGAAGGGGAGAGTGAAGGGGAAGTGGGAGGAGCATAGAAGCGGGGAAATGGAGAGCTGACGGATAAGGAGAGATCGTGATTTGGTTGAAAGACGGGTGAATATCCGAGGTTCTGGGGAGGAGGGAAGGAGCTCGAAGACTTCTTGGAACACTTCTGAGAATTAGAGAGGAGGATACTCAATTGGAGCCGAATAATGCGAGTTGTGAATGGCCAGTTCACTTTTCTGCTGAGCATCGCTGTCGCGACGTGGGATATATGTATGTAGATACAATGTAAGCCACAGCTCAGCGCGGTCGGGTTCGCCAGTCCCTCGATGTCCGAGAATTCCGAATCCAACATCAGACGGGAAAAATCCCGCAAGCATAACCTAGTTCCTCCTGGAGCTGTAGCGACTTGGTGAGGCGGTGCTTCCCGGAGGACGACCCAATATGCCGACTATCTGGTCACGGGCATCACCAGAGTGGAGCCGCTTGATGAGCTCTTGTTCTCGGGAGAAGCTCCGAGGAATGGTTCTTCAGTTCCCGAGGGATATTTTCCTTGCCTAGGAGTTGTGCTGGTTCGGGACGCTTATACTGGTTACGCGTCATACCTCGCTCCGGCACTCGTGGTCAAAGAGACCAGGGCCTCCCGCGATGCAATTGAGGGCAACGAGGGCGAATAGGAGCTTCGATCACATTATCAACCGGGGAAGACCCCCGAGATTCCGCAGATTGCATGTTTGTTCCGGGTATAAGGCTCGACCATCGGTAGTTTCCTGTAGACTTCCTGGAGCGCTCCGGGGACTTGCCAGCTTGTATCGTAGAGCGGAATTATTCACGAAGAATCTCGTCGAAAAGACGACTATTCTAAGTCCTTGAAAAGTCGGCTTCCAGGGATGGACGGCGGAAGAAAAATATTCACAAACTCCCGCTACTCTCGGGGAGAATGTTCCCTCTGAATATATTGGATGGCATCAGGAAAGACAAGAAAATCACCGTCTGTACACCAAGCGATGTACCTTGTCCGCGGCGAATTCTCTCTGACAGGATACGGCGCTGGAAATGCTCTCGGACCCCAAGGGAGGGGCTCCCGGGAGCACTGGAAAATCAAATCTAATTGCACCTCTCCGGCTCGTTGACACAGTCTCCCACTCATTTTTGGTCATCGAATCAATTGATTTTGAAGATTCGATATTCTCCACCCCACGTATTCTCCGTCGTCACGGAGCTCTCCGAAACGACTTTTGAAGTCAGGAACGAATTGCTATCAATAAGAATGAGGAGCTCCCAGCCTGAGGTGTGAAAGAGGATTAGCCGCATTCGTTGAAACCGCTCCTCCAGTCGTGCTCAGAAGGCGCTTCTGCGATGCGACGTGTGGCTCGATACTTCTGCAACGCTCGATTGTCGAAGGACCTCAAAGAAAGTTTCAGAAGGTCGAGATCATTTGGAGGACGTTCGCTGAAGTATTCCGGTACGGTTTCATCCGTCCATACATCATTTGTGAGGCCGCGCTCGGCTTTCGGGATCTCCGCACTCGTTGTACGTCGTACACCCTACCGAGTTCATGGATCGACGATCCTCGAACGCCTCTCCGGATTAGAGGAATTATTTCTATCGAATTCAAACGAGCCTCTCAAATTCCTCGCGGCAGCGAGATACCCTCCCACCGGGTATCTCGGGTTTTTGGAAATTCGCCCAAGCAGAGCCATCGATCACGATGGTGGCAGCACCGGCGTGCTCCTGGAGTTCGAGGCCGAAGAACGTGAGTGATTTGGATTGAGCAGACTCGGCGCGCTGCGAGCTCCCAGGGAGTGTCCTCGCCCTGTGAATTGAATACAAGTCGTTCTCCGTCATCTTGGGGATGCGATTCATCGATGCGATTCCCCGACCGTCGAGGCTCCCCCGATAACTCTGACACGCTGACCGAGACCGGAGGTGCAGCTCCAATAGGAGTCTCGCCACGACTCTTGGGCGGCTGGGGGTAATCTGGAGAGTTCAGACACTCGATTGTTCTCGCCCCTGGATCGCCCTGCGGACCATACTGGGTCGGTACATGCTATGCGTGGGTGAGCGGTTGGGGGAGGTCGGAGTGGCCGCCCGCTCGCACTCGAAGGTACAGCGAAGATCATCCTCATCATCACCTCCACTCACCCATAAACAGATGCGGCTTCTGTTCGACGTAACCCCCGTACTCATTGTACAGGGTTCATTTCCATGAGACTCGACGTTTGTTCATCATCACGGCATCTCGATCAAACGAACCGTTGGTCGGGAACTGCGGCGCACTGCCGTCCAAATCGAGTGCGAAGTCTATGAGCGAACTGCACTCCGGGATACGTCCCGAAGGTGCGCTTCTCTGCGTTCTCCCATATCGTATGCTCGAAGGGGAGCATTGCTTCGTACCGCGGAGACGCCGACCCTCCGTTCATGAAAAACTCAGAGTATAACTCCGTGCGGACTCCGGGAAAGAATAAACCGGTGTGAAGCTTCCGGAGGTTCTACTCGGATGCATCGCCTTTACTCAGTGACAAGAAGAATCTGTAAAATCTCCAAGAGGAAGACTATGTTCTTCGGAGTGGACTGTGCGGTGGCAGTGTGCTTGGAGGAAGTGGTTGAGAGCACGAATCTCTTGTGAGAAAACCATCGTGAACACTTCGTCTCTCCACGCGTGATGCAGCTTAGTCGACGACGACTGGTTTTATCTGACGGCGACGCACAACGGCTGAATAGGACGACACTGTAAAGCAGTCAATCCCTGTCAAGAGGAACCCTGAAAACTGTCGTTTCCCAAGAAATCCGTCTCCCTGGACTGTTCACCTCCCAAAATATCGGCGCACAACAAGCATGGATCAAGCAGCGGCATTGGAGATACCGCACCTGCGGCATCTCCAGGAAGCGAAAATGTTTGCCATCGACGTGGGTGGATCATTGGCGAAGATCGCTTATTTCTCGAATGTACCTGTTAAGAGAGCCCACTACGCCGACAACAAAATTGTCTCGTGTAGCTCAGGGCGCTTGCACTTCGCCAAATTCGAAGCCCGGCAACTCGAGAGCTGCCTCAACTTCATAAGGTTGGTCTTGCACTGATTCCGTCCGCGTGACTTTTTCGCAGCGGCAGATTTTAGCGACAAGGCTGTTTCGAAACCGCCCTCGATAACCGAACCTTGGGCTTTCGCTTCGAGAACAAGACTCGTCCTCGGTTCGGAGTCGTTCACTTCAATCGCCGGCTGTTCGGTCAGAGATTGAGAAAAATCACTGAATCTTTTTTTCAATCGGTGTGTTCCATTCCATTTACAGGGAGCAGGGACCCCCAACAGAGATACGAGCGACCGGTGGGGGCTCGCACAGGAGGAAAGAATTGATTCAAAAGGCCCTGGGTCCTCAATGCACAATCTATTTGGAGGATGAGATGAAGTGCATCGTTACGGGAGCTAACTTCCTTCTCAGGAACATTCCGCATGAGGTATCCACTTGATTCTGAATAATCAGCGTTTTTCTGTCGATCATCCATGAACTGTGGTTGGACTGGCCGAATTATATCATTTGAACCGATGTGATACTCTACCTCTGCTCGCTCCGCGACACGCCGTCGCTCTTAGAACATAGACCGTTTTGGATATAATCTTGAGAGGGAGATAATTTACACGCGATCCCATCCTTCCAGGTGTTCAGCTACGAAAAACGTGATAACTTCAAATTCAAACCTAACGACACCAACGTCTTTCCCTACCTTCTAGTCAACATTGGCTCCGGGGTCTCGATAATCAAGGTAAAGCCCACGATAGTGCTAGAGCTTCTACAACTATAGCTCGTAAAAGCTAGACCGCTCAGTCATTCTTGCATTCGAGGCGCGTCGGTATCGTAGTCGACCATGGATCTCAGCGGAGGTTTGGTTCCAGGTCGAATCCGAAACTTCCTTCGAACGGATCGGAGGTTCAGCTTTGGGTGGAGCTTCGTTCTGGGGCTTGGGTTCCTTGTTGACCGGAACTCGAGATTTCGACGAGCTGCTCCAACTGGCCGAAGAAGGGGATCACCGCAGCGTGGATACACTGATTGGAGATATCTACGGATCCGACTACGTCGGACTCTCGGCGGATACGATCGCTTGCTCTTTTGGGAAACTCTCACGAGTTCACGCCACCTCGGCGACCAACAACGGTGGAGACAACAACAACATCCGCGACAATGTCAACCCTGCAGATTTGGCGCGATCCTTGTTACTCGTGATATCGAACGACATCGGTCAGCTAGCCAGTCTGTACGCGCTTTCGCACAACTTGGACAGGGTGTATTTCGGAGGTTATTTCCTTCGTTCAAGACCACTTTCGATGCATACGCTTTCGTTCGCTGTGAACTTTTGGTCGAAAGCGAAGGTGGAGCCGCTTTTCCTCAGACACGAAGGCTATCTAGGGGCCATCGGAGCGTATCTGGCCGGGGACAAATCAGCAATGATTTCCGATAAAGTTTCCTGGGCGGAAAACTACGCATGCAGCTCCCTCGCCGGAGTTCCTGGGACGGCCCCTAGCCACCTCGAAATGGATTTGTTCGAATGGCCCATGGTGAGCATCCTCCGTCGGTAGAGGGACCTCGACAAGAGTTTTTTTCCGAGAGCGATTTCACGGCGATTCTTTCGGAAGAACCATCTTTTCGATCGCAGTATCTCGCTTCCAGGTATCTTGCCCGTTGCTGAAGCATCCGGAAAAATACACTGCAGATACCGTAGACCTTACGAAAGATGCACCCGCACGAGAATATTGGTTGGATTGTTTCGAGAACGCTATTACCAAGTTTGTTGAAGTCGCTGTTGAGAGCCAGAAGGACAAAATCGACGCAGAGGAGAGAGGACAAGCCGTTCGTGAGAAATATCTCGAGAAAATCAAGTACCTCCGTCTGAATCCCTGGTAAGTGGTTAGAGGAGATTCTGGACGTCGAATACTTCGCGGCTCGGGAGGTCGAACAAGCCAGATACCTACCCCGCTTCGTGCGTCCCAGTCAACCATGCGACGGGGGTGGCTTCGTCGGTAACAATACCACTATGTCCTCATGCGATTCCCAAATGGAATCGCGGAGGTCATCCCGATCGAAAAAATCGCAGTATGTCAAGGAGAGAGGTGCTTCGAGGACGCATCTTACTTCGGCAATGTCCGACCCGATGTCTTTTCTTCGCGGATCGCTGGGCCGGAATTTCTAATCAGACTTTCATACCCGTAGCGTGTACGGATCGTTGACCGTGCGAAGTCTGTTGGACATGAGAGAACAGTGCCTGCTGGAGTTCGATTTCGCCGATCCTTACATGGTGCAGAAACGAACCGAAAATCAACTAGCGCTCGGCGAGCTGAAGAAGCGAATCACACATTTGGATTCGATCGCCGACGATGTCGAACGTCAGACTGAGCTGGTCATAGGTCTCCTCGCAGGTGAGACCTCTCGGACTGATAGCAAGAACGAATGACGAACCCGTTATTTATCTTCGACGCGCTGTGAATTCCTCCTGAGAAGATCTCGACTGTCAAGTAACTCGAGTGACTTCCTTTTAGGGAATGTGTTCGATTACGGGGCCAAAGAAGTCGTTCGGCTACTGCAAGAAGCCGAGACCAAGAATGAGTCTTTCGGTTTCGAGAGAGCCAATAGCCTCCTTCAGAAACGACCGTGGCTGGTGGACAATCTCGATCAGTGGCTGGAGAGAGCCAAATCTCACGTTCACAAATGCGCTGCGATCTTCGTAGATAATTGTGGTGCCGATTTCGTGCTTGGTAAGTAGGCCTCCTTCGCCGCAGAATTTTTCCGAGTGCTTCCACGCTCCTCGAAACTTTCGGCATCAATCACGTCTGCTACAAACCTTGTGATCCCCAGAACCCACGAAGCTCCGATTCTGGCGGGCTGATATCCAACGAGGAGATGTTCATTCGAGAGTTTGATATTTCAGGCGTCGTCCCCTTCGCCCGAGAACTTGTTCGACGAGGGACTCGCGTCATGCTCTGCGCCAATGCACGGCCAGTGCTCAACGATGTCACTTACGACGAGTTGCGACTCCTGGCCGAGCAAATCGCATCCATCTGCCCAGTCTGGAATCAGGCTCTCAGAGATGGCCGAATCAAACTCCAAGACTCCGGCCAGAGCTCACCGTGCTTGGACTTCGCGCGTATCAAGAGGTGAGAATTCCGCGTCTGGGGAGGCGTCTGATTATGAAGCTGCGAAAGTTCGCTCATGTCTCTAGGGGGACTCATCCTCAGAAGGAGGGGGCTAACCGTGTAATATTTTCCCCGCAGACAAACGGCCGAAGAACTCTCCCTTTGCGATTTATTGGTCATAGAAGGCATGGGACGCGCCATTCACACAAACTTCAATACTGAGTTCACCTGTGATTCAATCAGAGGAGCCGTCCTCAAGAACAAGTGGCTGGCTAAGCGACTCGGCGGAGATATGTTTTCAGTGGTGTTCAAGTTTGAAGCGAAGGACAATGTTACTAAGGAATAGAGAAGATTTTCCATAAGAACGATCACGGAGGAGCCACAATCCAGAAGAAAACTTCAAGAGCCTCTCGTGCTTTCTCGATCTGTCTTCGACCAAGCCAATGAGTCTGGGAGAACTTTTTTCCCCGAGTCTTTCTACCAAATACAATAAAAAGATTTCTGACGATATCCAGCTCGACTTTTCTTTCCTCGTTCACCCTTCAATGCAAGTGGATCGGGCCTGATCTGACCAATAGCTAAATGCGGTCTCGACTTCAGAGCAGCGCAGAAGGTTTCAGGGAGTCAATCAGTCTCATCCGAGTCAAGTTCGAGAACGGCCCTGTCCATCAGGAGGCTGTCTCAGCACTCTCCGGGAAAACTCCTCGCCGAGGGGGAATGCCGTGAAGAGTTTTCTCGCTAGCATAAATGGACCATCACGTGGAAACCTCACGTTCTATGGAGCGAGAAGCCTCAGCCCGGAAGCGGTCGCGCTTGATATTGCGGTCTAAGGGATTGAATAAAGTCTCGAGTCACAAGGAGGAAGCCTTTCAGAGAAGCATCTTGAAGGCCGAGGAATCGAGGGGGACCCTAGACGCGAACTTCCGAAGCTGTTCACGTTGACGCCCGAAATATTCCATGCAATCCACAGGATCTCTCTCAAATCGATTTTCACTGAGTTGCAAAGTATCGAGATCCTTCCATGCTCTCATTCAACGCGGCTGCTTGTCAACCCCTCCGGGCTTCCGCAATCGTTATCAAAAATTTATCCGATACGTTCGAATTTATCATCGGGTCGAGGGGAGTCCATGTCATTGCACGCGTGGGCAGTAATTATCTCAACGACGGCACCGAATGCTCTTGATTTGTCAGGTTGGCATAGAGCTTAGTCGGGAAGCTTTCCAGATCGAAATGATCATCCTCGCGCTGGGGGATCCGTCCGATGATCGTACATTATCTCAATCGTCCCGCATCGCAGCACCCGAGAAGAGGCTCAGAGCCCAAGGTCGTTGATGCGAGCCGAAATTCTGCATTTGGCTCGCCAATTGCAGCAGCTTAGTAAGCGCTCGATGGTAAGGGATTTGAATCGTGCTGTCTCCCGCGCGCCCGCCGAAGCGGCGGTTTCGTTGATCCCTTCGTGGCACGTCTCCGAATCGTCATGATCTCGTTCATTCCAGAACGTATCATCACACAGTGTTGTCTTCGTTGGATGAGTCAGTTGTTGCCGTCAGGTGTTGCGTAGCTCGTAGCTTGAAAAAACAGCAGGAAGGCATTGAAGTCCAAATCGAAGTGAACAACGAACAAACTTTGACGTCTCTGGAAGCCCAGCGATGAGTCTGAACACTTGTCACGCCGGATCTGGCGTCGTGCTCTACTCCGGAGAATTGTAAGTGTCATTGGCGATAGAACGGCCGTTCGAAGAATCACGGAGCTCTCAGCTGATTGTGTCGGTCGGAAGCCTATCGATTCATCGGTGGCATTCGACATTCGACCCTCGTCTCGGGTTGCCCATGCCTTCTGTTTGGGAGTTTTCGTTGTTTCATCGGCATAGCGTACTATCGCCGATTCCCGTGGTCGACCACGCATTGGGGTTGCGGATGAGAATCAGATTATGTCATCGAGATATTTATCGAGCAGCAGCATCGGGTTTTGGACTTCCGGAGTCCGCATGCCTATCTACTTCATGTTGTCATGTTGGGTTCCGATGCTCACACGGTCTCCGCCACGCTCCAGGGGCCTGTCTGAGCGTGAAGCCGGCGGTACGGCTCGAGCGTATCAGAGCGATGTCAGGAAGGACCGATCAGATAATATTCCGCTCGGAGTCGGGGGGCGGTATTCAACATAACTTCTGATAGATCTCCGATCTTCGGGGATATTGTGATCGCCACAGACCGATTTGCATAGGTAGTTTCTCATTTCTATCGGAGAATCACTAAGTCGACACATCGAAGATATCGATTGATCGGCGTTCCATCAGCTGAGCATGAGCGCGAACCCCATGGAGCTCATACGATTCCCTCGTTCCGTCAAAGCCGCTGATGCGCTGCTTGCCGATTTTTCTCGAGTTCTGGTTCTGGGAAGCTCAGATGACTTCCGGAACGGATCGGAAGTCCTCACAGGAGCGTGTTTCGGCAGACTGTGATCCATATTGACGACGTGACGTTTTCGCTCATCTATTGCAGCATTCTCCTCTACTGCGATGGAGTGACGCTGTCCTTCGACTGCGCCGAACCGAGGATGAAAGGTGACAGGAAAGGCCGGATCTATCTGACGACCCACCGGATGATCTTCAGGTACGTTGCTATTTGCTATGGTTCGCGCATCGGGGGAGTTCCACATTTCGGCATCAGAATCGGCTTTGCGCTCAGCAATAATGAACGACGGTATCGAATTAGGATCTCGATAATTTCCTCCCAGGTCCAACAATGATTCAAAAGGTCTGGTGTCGTTCTCGTTCCCTTTCTACACTCTTCATAACTTGGGTCTCGAGCAGCCCGTTTTTGGAGCCAACTACATCAAGGTCAGTTGGGCTGTTCAAAACAAGGGTTTTCTCCGTCTGTTCACGATATTTGCTTCGGGCGACCTTACTCCCTCGCCTTATTTTTATCGAACGTCTCCCGGACCGGCTACCGCTTCTGATTCCAGGGAACTGTGAAAGCCGAACCCAACGGAGGATGGACCGGGAGTGCGTCCTTCAGAATGACTTTCAAAAACGGAGGTGCCACGGAGTATGGTCAAGCCCTTATGGCTGCTGGTCAAGCCGCTTCGAGGTATATGGGTCAACAACCGCCTCCACCTTACACCGCTCCGACGGCCGCATATGTGAACGCTCAGAACTACATGGCGCCGGCTGGCTCCGCACCCTACGGATTCCACGTGCCTACGAACGTCTTTCCTGAGCGACCTCCCGGTAAGGGCGGAACTGTTTCCTGATTCCCGTTGGCCTGACTCCGATCAGAATTCTCAACATGATTTCGTAGAGGAAACAGCAATTTGAACTGACTCGACTCTCCCAACAGCGAACCAGGTATACATGTACGAACAGCCTCCGCCGTATCCCGGAGTTATGGGTGTGGGATACATGGCGCCCAACGGTACTGCGTATGCCACCGCACCGCCTCCCGTCCAGAACCCACAGTATGCTCAGCAGTACCCGCAGTACCCGCAGCAAGTCCCGCAGTACCCCCAGCAGTATTCGCAGCCGATGCCTCCAACCAACCAAACGTCTCAGGTGAGCTGACGGCCACATGTTACGGCAAGTCGCGGAAGGACTCTCGAAGAAACTCGCGAGATGAGAAGAGATCCTCGCGAGATCTCATGCGCGCTGCTAAATCACTACGAATCTTTTCAGCCCGCTTACCCTGGAGCTGCCTACGGAGATTTCAACATGGTATGTCCCAGATATTCACGTTTGTATTTTTGCCATCGCGGACCCTCGCTCTTCCCCGAATATTCCTCCTCAAAAGCTACTCCCGACTTTCAGGGCCCCCCGCCGGCGTACGCGCCAGCTGAAAGCAAGAAGATGAACTGAGCTCGGACTCTACTCTCCTCGTTATCGCTACACGCACCCCGATCGGGATGTTTTTGTTTTAGCCGTAGATATTTTCGACGGGACAGTATTAGTGGGGGGAGGATATATATCGTCCTGAGTAAGGACAACCCGCGACGGTTCGGACGACGACGGGTGACGTCCCGCGTCTCGGAGCACAGAGTGAGCTTTCTTTGTGCTCGGCATCTCCAACGCCCTGCAGAGCTTTAAAGCGTCGGTACCACCATCATTATCATTACACATCGTACCATCCCTCGGAGCAACGAAAATATATTTTACCGGGAAGTCACTTATTGTTAGCGTGTGTCCCGCGAGACATTTCCCGTACACTGGTTCCGTTGTACACGCTCGTAAGGGGAGCTCCAGGGTTTCCCACGACGTGACCCCAAGAGCTCTTGAAGGAGTTTCCGAACCCTAGTTCACTCCCAATCCAAAGTTCTTGAACCTTTGCGCATAATAAAGCAAGCGATCAAAGCTTATGAACGTCGAAGTTCTCTTCTCTAGGTTTAGGGTAAGACGGGCTGGCCATGACTTCTGAGGATGTGCCGCGGAAGGGGAAATCGGCGTAAGCGAAGGAAGAGATGCGAAGATTCTCGATATCGTCTGGTTTAATGCTCTCTGCTCGATCGATAATAATCTATCCGCGATTCTCAAGATACGGCCCCGATGATCAGAGGAATCATCGGAGGTCAACAATTCCGAGAGCTGCTCCAATAGTCAAAAGAACCGATCACCCATGTCTGAGACATCGATCCATCGTTTGGTCAATATCCAGGAAGTAATACCATGATGAATGTTAATCATTTTTAAGTTAATCAGTAGAGTTCTTTCGGAGCCGCTTGGCCGAAAAGATGACTCCACGACATTGGAGTTCTCCACCCTTTATCCGCGAGACGGAGCCATTTGTTGAGAGAATCCGCCAGAAGCAGAGCATCGGGTGTGTTGTCACCTGATTGAATGTAATCTCTCATTAGGTTGATTGAGATATCGGACATCCTATCGAGAAACCTGCCGAATGCCGAAATGGGGAACGAACATGCGCTGCATGTGAATGAAGCTCTCCGTGATTCTTGCGTACCTTCAGAACAGTAAAGTAGCATCATGACAACAGGCACGTCACTCTGGAACGACTTCTCTAGAATAGGTCGAGCCATTCCAGAACCCGGCATCAGGTACACTCCTCCCTCAGGGTCGGGTAGTTTTGTCAACGGATCCTGTTTCTCGAAAATTTTCCAACCGAAGTTTTCGATATCTTTCGAAGTTGATTTGTCGACCGCGTTTCCGCAAAGATACTGCAGCGCACTCCTATGGGATAAGAGAAGAATGAGATAATTGTTTCTGGATGGGATTTTGGATGGAACTTCGATCTTCGACAGGCCCGACTTTGTTCCTCCCCCCCTCTCACACACCAAGAGGGTGCCACATATCATGGATCGGATGGGCAATCGCCGCAGGGGGTATCATATCACCGATCGAGCATGAAGAAGGATGCGGAGGTGATGCTGGTCGACTCACCCTTTGAGTTGTTCAGGACTGCGGAATTGCGAAAGGCATGTTGCTAACATCACGACCAGACGGAAGTTCATCGACTTCATCCAGCTGGTCAGCTTGGAACTGTATTCACCCCGACAACTCTTGGAAGAGAGAGATTGTAAGCTTTCAGAATCACTACGAGCTCTGCTCTTCGTTGTGACTGTTCCCCCGATCAATCCACTTGGAGGTGCTCAGTATTGGGAGGCATCCCGAAATTGGTTATTAATGGAGCCGCACGGAGCCACTCACCGGTGATACAGGTGTGCGTTGCTGTATTAAAAGTATTTTCTTTGATGAACATGCGTATAGCTGACAGGCTGTGGCCAACCGGGGATCTCCATCTTTGTAGGGGTTCCCTCCCACAAGGGGCAAGAGTGATACTGAATGCATATATCCACATAATTCGGTGTCCAACGACGAACAGAGGAGGTCGATCGCAAGCTGAGCGGCATTTCCGATGGACACGACAGGCTGAAACATTACGGAGCTTTGAATGCTTGCCGAACATACTCGAAGAAGAAAGACTCTCTAGATTGAAGACCTCATCGGTCAGGAAAAAAACCTAACAATCCCTTCATCTTTGGAGCTCTCCTCCGAGGAGACCTCTCCAGAGAGGTCTTGCGTGGAACGCTCTAGAGAGCAGCGTGCTCCACACTTGTCTAGGAGAGGATGTTCTGCGCGGCGCATGTTTATCCAGATAGCAGAGCCCACCCCGGGACGGACTTGAGTCGCTCTACACGCGCTGGGTGCATTCTCGGGATCAGGATACGAACGAGGGTATTGGGTCGATATAGTCGAACGCTCTATTGGTTGTACTCACGAAAATCAATGTCCAATCACTCCAATCTTGATCGCGGTATTTGTCGAGGGGAACAAACATTACGGGATATTCTGCGTCTTACACTTCGGTCTAAACGATGAAACCAAGCTGCAAAACTCAGAATTCAGGCAACGGGGTAGAGAACTGCCTTTAAAAGATAGTTGGCATTTGAGAGCGCGGACTTGTCAGTCATGGTATGGTACGTCTGCGATTCTTCTTCCTCCTTGCGTCTGGCCGGGCTCGAGCGCGCCAGATTCAAAATTGTCCCCCTCCATCGCCGGTATCCGTGAGCGATAACTTCACCGATTCTCTTCCGAATTCGGGGCTCTCGTTCAGAGTCGAATCATCCCTCTTGATCTCGTACGAATTTGATGCTCGCAGCGATCTCTTCAGATTTTCAATGAGAGAAGCTCATCACTCCTCTCTGGGATAGCATCACCTGCCTTTCAGGAACTAAGGTAGGGCACGGTGCGTCTCCTGACGGGAGCAGGCGGGAGTCGAAGGGAAGGGACGCAAAAAAACAGGCTGGAAACTTCCGATTTTTTGGTTTTTATCTCAAACAGCTATCAGGATTTATTGCGTGATAAATACTATGTTTCGCCCGGTTTGACGATGCGGAATTTCCTATGATTCCTCCAATCCGTTTGAAACTCGCCGTACACTTGTTCTTTGCCTTCCCGACCCGCTTCACTATTATTGAAGAACCAAGATTTCATCTCGTCCAATTCTGGCTTCGGCCCTTGAAGAACACCTGCGGAAAGTGAGGGAGTTCCGAGGCTGCGCGGATGAGTATTAATCCATGAGTCCATGAACAATGATAATAATCAACCGAAAGAGCACATTCGAGAATGCCCGCTACGAACCACTGAAGCAGCAGTCACCGTAAGGCTCCATGAAACCTTTTATCTCCAGTCTTTTAGCTTCGGATTCAACCTTGCTGACGAAATCTCTGTCTGTTGAACATGCGTCAACCGTTGCCGACCTCGTTCCGTAGCGCTTCTCGTATTCTCTCGTTAGCACTAGGCCGACGATGAGGATCGTCATCCTGCCGATAGCGGCGGGATTTTTGTGTAGTTGAAACATACCGAGGCCACCAGGGCTAGGGGTTCGAGCATAAGCAAGCTCGTTCCAAGTCCGAAGCCCCCATTCAGTCTTTAAGGAACACACGATCACTTGGATATTTCGGGTAAACAGCTGATGGGTGACGCCATTTTGGGTTCGCTCGTATCTCATCTCGGGCTGGTCTTTATTCATTGTCTCCATCTAGAGATATTCTCTCGGATGTGGCCACTAGTCATCATATGGAAAATTAGCTTCAACAAAAAGCGTTGTGAACTCGCATGTCGGAATTCCCGCGAAATTGCGCGGCAGCCGGAGCTGAAGTTGTTGCCGGCCTCATTCTCATCTCGACCTCGCCTTCCCGCCGTATTATGCAACGACAAACGAATTGTACAGTTCAGCCGGAGCTCCGCGAGCTTGACGAGGTCGGAGGCGATCCCGAAGAGATGTCGCGGCATCCTTTCACCGCATGCAGGTATCATGCAGGTAGCTGCCGAATTCTGCGGTCCTGCTGATGCTGAGTTCGTTCCATTCCCTCGAATCATTTCACAGACGCGGCTGTCTTCAACTAGGTATTCGCTACCGACCGTTGGAGACTTCGGATAGGTGACAGCCTTCAAATCGAGCCTCACTTCGACGGAGAGCGACCCCTATCCGCTTCCCCATTTTTCCCTTACTGTGGCTCACTGACTCGGAAAGCTTGACGGGACAACTACGGAACGAACCAGCATCACAGCGCCGCATTCCTACACTACAATGCCCTCCGCTGGCCGAACTCGCCTGGGAAAGGTACATCTCACGTCAAGCGACAGTGACAGATTTTCGTTCATAATTTCCCTGTTGAATGATGATCGCGAAAATTATCATCAAGACACATGAAATGAGCGAAGGAGTGAGGAGATCGGACCGAGCTGGGAAGTAGAACAGAGCATGGACAACCAAAGACACAGCTCGGATCCTCGGCGGAGTCTATCATCGTGATAATCGTATCGGAAGCTTCCCTCTGATATTTTTTTGGAGCTAGACGATTCTTCTCGATGTGTACACATGAACGCGACAGTCGCATCTGCCCCCAAGAATCATTTCCTAAGCGCCTGGGCTTAAGGAATGGTACTTTGTCCGCAGGAATTAGCGCAACTCGCCGACACGATTAGTGTATGCGAGGCTAATGGAATGGGTCGATCCTTGTGCCTATGTTTTTGCGTCTCTTACACGCGCACTGAGCTATCATTCCCGACGTGAGCCGGAGCGGGAGGGTTATCGACAGGTAAATCCCAGCATTAAACGGCAATCAGGATGGAAGAATCAGATTCCCCGAGTGGAGGAAGGGGTCAAGCGAAGACGACCCTATCTAGCCCTCGCTCGGAGGCCGGAAGCTAATGCCATGTATGCCCGAAAGACCCTGCCTCTCCTCGACCGTGACGATTTCAAGGATTTTACTTGATTCCCCCGAGCAGGTCATCCCAGACGTCCGATCGAGCTAGCGATCGAAGCAAGCTCGCGAGGTAAGATCCAGCGCCGGAAATAATGTTTCCCTGTATCGTCGGGGCAATGCAGGGTTTTCTGGAAGCCACTCGAGGAGAGCGTGCATTCTGAGTCGCAAGTGACCCTTCTGTGAGAGGAGGGGGCGCGGCACACTGATTGGTGTTTGGAAAAAGCTAGGCTCCACAAGTCGGCCGCACTTGCTTGGAAACCTCCCCAGTTGCGACCCGCTCGTCTTGTTGATGCCGCGCCGCAAGATGAATGAACGCTGCAGGGCGCGCTCTGGAGTTCTTTCATCTGGTCATTTCTAGTTTGGCCTGAAAGAGCCGTAGACCCGGAGGCCACTCCGAGAACCAGCACACGAGCCTTCGTCTATTCTCCGGTCTTCATCATGAGCTGCCGAATCAGTGATCAGAGGACCGTGCAACTCTTCGCGCTCAGAGCACCTCTCCGCGGCTGCAGACTGGATACGGATCCTGCGAGCGCCGCTGGCTAACAGCCGCGACGGGATTTAACTAAGTTATACATGATGCTCATGAGATGACCCCCTGGACTCTTCGGCCCCCTCGTCCGGTAAAAACTAAGCGTTAGGAACATTCAATGTAGTGACCTCTCTTCGAATGCATCGAACTAATTGGATGATTCTCCGCCCGAATCTTCGCGACCCCCATCAAAGTAATTGGAGCTAATCGGGATTGGTGAGCTCGAGATTGATCGGGGTCATTCACTCTCAAGAATTTCTAATCACGAACCTCATCATCGACTCATACCGACTTCCGGATCGGACTTTCGAGTCGATTCGGTGCCTTCGGAATTCCGTCGCGCTATCAGAATGAGGATACCCATCACCAATCGGAGCTGCTTGGGGTAGCCCCCGCCTGGTGTGAGTCCACCGCACAGCGCCTCTCCCAATCCCAAGTCGAGTCGCAGTATAAAACTACACAGAATCGAACTTCTGCATTGTGAGATTCAGTCACTGCAGAAGATGAAGACTCGATCAGAAAGTCGCAAGGGGGAGTCGAAGCCGGATATTGATCCTCTTAAAGTCGTTCGCGAATTCATCGAAAAGAACAAGAGGATAAAGAAGACGCAGGTCTTCAAGAAACGCCACAAGAAAGGCTGCTTCTGCGTAAGCGACAGCTCCACAAGAGCGGAGCAATGGGCAAGGTTCGTCCTGACCTTAGAGGACAAAACGCCGGACATCGAGGAGCTCACACCGGAGAAGCTTTCGAAACCTTCGGTGATGTTCTGGGCGGCTCGGAGACTACACGAGCTGTCCATGCTTAGCCGGAGGAATAAGGACTAATCCGGCTAGGCTCAATGGATGATCTGGACTCCGCAACACCATCGGCTGCATCAGTAGGAATAAATCTATATTTATCTGATCCTATCACGCATCGGGATTCATTTGAAAAATTTCGATCTCATGCATGCTCAAGTGCACCCATCGATCGAGACGATGGATCATGGGCTTTTTGCGAAGATGGGGAGAAGATAGAAGGGATAGCGGCGCGTCGCGACGGAAAATCACAAGATTCGCAGAGAGTCATAGCTTTCACCAAATCGCTTGAGTAGTGTAATCTGGATACGCTCGACTCCTTGGTGCTTTCCTGAGGACCACGGCGAAAGTCGGAATCGGACCTGGCGGCGCCTCCATCCTTCTCGGGGCTGGGTCGTATCCAGATCCAGCCCAGCCCCAGCTATCAATGCTACCCTGAAGTCCAGAGCGAGAATCTCTTAAGGCTCAAGGGAGGTCTTATCCGATGGATGAGCTGAACCGAGTTCCCAGGGTCATGATCGTGAGACCTATTGAGTGTTTGGGCGCAGACACGGAGGCGCGTCCCAGTAGATGACTGCAGACAGAATATATCGGAAATCTAAGAGGGTTTCTCATTGACCGGGGATGCGAAACGCTAGAGCCGAAAAAGTTCGGGAGGAGGAGGTCATTCAAGCTGTCGACGGGAGAATGTCGCAAGCCTGAATTAACAGCCGGGGCAGCGATCCAGATTTTTATGAGAGCTTCAGATCGCAGTACTAGGAAGACTGCGAACTCCAGGTGCCATCGCCCATCACAGCTCAAGGCAGGATGGTGGGGATTCGATGGGGCGAGAGCTCGGGTCAGCAATGTACGTATCATGCGGTTTCCTGAGGACACATATTTTTGTCTCATCTGTGGCTGAGGAACGTCATCGCCCGGGCGAAGAGATTGAAGTCTTAGGAGGCTCCGACTGAGATTTCGTGTGAGAGCGTGTGATGGACCCGTCAGAAGCTTCGATTTAGGCGAACAGAACAATGTCGTGCGAATCAATTCAACTTATACAGCGATGAATTATTATGGCGTTTAAGCTGAATAGCAGGGATAGTGCAGCACACATAGCGGAGTTCCAATATCGGAGATGATGATTCAGCCTGTCTCGGATACCCTTCTGACGCTCCGTAAAATCATCCAGGATGACACGCGAGATACCTTCCCCTCAAGTTTTTCCATCGGTGTCGAGTGCCCCGGCGATCACATGCACATTTGTGAAGACCGCATCCACGTCGTACCGTGCGGAGGGTCGCCGCTTCGAACTCCGAGGCCCGCTGACTTAGCTTCCCATGATTTCCGGGCTGATGCCGTAGGACAGCCATCAGTCCGATTCCCGTGTTCAACAACTACGCCGAGGGCCTTTGAGTCCTCTGACGATGGGACTATCCTGGAGATGGTCAAAAGACTTCCGGCGAATCTTCCTGTGATGGAGCACGGTCAGTGATCCCCTTGTCATTTCATCCTCCGCAGAAAACTTCAATCTTTATGCCGGCAATCAGTTTCCTCCCATTTCTTCAGTATCGTTCCGCCAGTCCTCAATCTGTAAAATCCTCAGCACCCTCGACATGTCTAAGGCCTCTGCCTTTGAAGGTATCCAAACAGTTGTTTTAGAAAATTGTGCCCTCGAACAGACTCCCGTCCATTGTGGACCTTTCCCCCTCTCCTTTGATTCGGGCATGTTCCCCATCCACTTGCCTCCATCTCATCAACCGTCATTGAAAAAGCTATCAATTATCAGCTCTCTTCCATCTCGATATGTCCTTCCCATCAGTGATCGTCAGTACGGCATTCGAAGGGGTCGCCACTATAGCGACCCTGCTCTCCACAGTATACAACTCTGGAACTCATGTATCGGAGAACATGGCGAGCCACATGCCGTTGCCGTCGTCATTTCTGAGGCATTAGACAGTGTTTGGCATGCCGCTTCCTTAAATAAGCTCCCCTCCTTCGGGCTTAAACCTGATCTCCGCAACTGGATTTCAAACTTCCTCAGTTACCGCTCTATCAAGGTTATGACCGATGGCTCTTCCTCAAAATCTCACGCAATGAACGCAGGCGGACCCAAGGGCTCACTTTTCAATGCTCTATACCCTGCTCCTACTCTCTTTCTGATGCACATCGATGATCTCCTTGCCTTCATCTCGAGTCCCAACCGAGGCTTCGCCGATGATGGCATGCTTCATGCACATACTCCTTCGGGAAGCACCCCATCCTTGACTAAACCAGCTCTCAAACCACCATGCTTGCCTCCCTCAATGACGATCTTCGGCGGATTTTCGAGTGGGGCTCTGCTAATCTGGTCCTATTAAATTCACAGAAGACGTAGCGCACCCTTTTCACGGA